TTTTAAATCTTCAATAATTTTAAATTCTAAATAAAAAAAGAATAAATTATATATATGTATTTTATTCTTTATTATTTAATATATAGTAAAGGACTTTTCAGTACATGTCAATAGAATTGACATACTCATCTATCTTAACATGATTTTTTAATCATATAATTATTGTATTAACTCATTTTAATTGATATGTTTATCTGTTTAGCATATAATTTGATAATTAAGTTTTTTTGTTTATTATATTAATAATAATATTTAAAAATTCTTTAACTTCAAATATATAACAAATTTTATTAATCTTATTATTATTATTTTTTTAATTACAATATATTTTACTATTAAAAAATTTAATTTTTTCTAACATTATATATTAGAAAAATTTATTTTATATTTATTATTAATGTTTTAAGTTTAAGTAGCTTAAAAAATCTTTCTTTAATATACTTAAGAATTGTGGTATTTTTTAAAAGTAAATTTACAAATCCAAAAATAATTGATATAATATATTAAATAACTTTATATTAAAATATTTATCAAATTTTTTATTTTCATTATTGATAAGAATATTTATAGCTTATTTTAATTATTTTATTTATAATAGATACTTAACTTTTTTGCAAAGTTAATTAAAGAAAGCAGAAATAAAAGAAGAATTTATTAAGTAAAAGTAGAAGTAAAAGCAAGATTGATAAGAAATTGATGAGTTAAAAGTAAAATTTAATAAAGATATATTATATAAAATAACATAAAATAAAAATAAATTTTATTTAAAAAGAAAAATAATAAATAAAAACTTTTTTTATAAACTTAAATTATAATTATATATAATAATATTAAATTTTTAATATATTGTAAATACTATTATTTAAATTTATTTTACAAAGAAAATTTAATATAAATATATTAGTATATTTATTTTATAATACAAATTTTAAATTAATATAATAATAAATCATATATTAATATTGAAATTTATAATTGATTTTTTTTTTAATTATAATAAATTTTAATGTATTTATTTAAATAATATTTTACAAAAATTTATTTTATGATGCAAATTTTTTAACTAATTACATAATATATGTTTATTTAAAAATTTCTTATTAGATTTTTTGAATAATAAATTTAATTAAAATTTGATTAGAATAAAATTAACATAAATTAGTATTAAAAAATAGAAAATAATAAAAATATCAGGAAATTAAGATTAAGTTAAGGAAAAATAGGTTTTTAATTAATAATTTTCTGATCATTATATTTTAAATCCAATTAGTTTAAATTATTCTTAATGATAATTTTATTTTTAAATAATAATTATTCATTTAAGAATTTAAATTTTTATTACATCATTTTTTTAATAATAAGTTTTTTTAACTGTTGATATTATATGAAGTCAATCTTACTGCGTCATAAAGATTGATGAATAATCAATATTATTAACATCATTAGCATTTTTAACTTAGTTAACATTTTTATTTTATTTATTTTATTCTTATATATTATTATTATTATTTATTATATTAGTATTATTGTTAAATTATAATTTATTTTTTATATTTATCTTAGTGTTATAAAATAGTTTAGCATTAGATATTAATTTCTTATAATTGTATTTTTGTATAAATAGGATAGAAATTTGTTCTTGCAAAAGGGTAAAGATAATTCAATAGTTTGAGTTTAAGACATAGAATCCAAAGTTAAGGATTGCTAAGTATACAAATCTCTATAATAAAAGAATCTCTTTCTAAACTATACATATTAAAAATCCTTCAATGTATCAATTGTGTTTATTGTATTTACAAGTTGTTAAAGTTATTTGCTCATCTATAAGTATAAACCTAAGGTTGATTGTGATAGGACTTATTTTACAGTAACTTAGTAGTTTCTCGTACGTTACTCCCTATTATTAAATCATAGTTTCTCTAAGTTTGACAGGCTGAGCATAAGATTAACATTGTAAATATTGTAATAATTATTTTTTTTATATTTTTTAATTTACTTTTTTTTTTAAATTCATAAAGTTATTTTATAAATAATATTTAATTTTTTTTTAATAAATTTAAATTAGTAATAAGTTGCTTAAGTAAAGTATTCTAAGTAATAATTCTAATAAATAATAAGAAAAAATAAACAAATAGAAGAGTGTTTAAAACTTCTGAAATAATTAATCAAACTTTCACAATATATATATATTTTTTATTATTTTATTCAAATATATTTATAAAAAATACATAAAGCTTTATATCCTATATTTTTTCAATATAAAATATGTAATGTAATGTCAAATTATCTATAATTAAGCATTATTATTTAAAATATAATAGATTTTTTTTTATTATATTATTATTTTTTTTATTTTAAAATAAATTATTTGTATTTTATATATTATTCAAAAATATAATAGATTTACATTTATTCTATATATTATGATATTTATCTTAAATTAAACTTATAATAATTATTATTAATATTTAAAACTCAAACTTTATAATCAAAGGTCAAAATGAGAATATTATTATAATTAGATTTTGAATTTTTTAAGTAATAATCTTCATATCATTTTTAAAACAAAACTGAACTTATTTTTCAACAATTTAATGAAACAGATGGTATTATTAATTTTGAACTATTGAATAATTTATAAGATTTTAGTTAACTGTTTTGAATTCAGAAAAAAATAAATTAATTTAAAAAATATTGAATTAAAAAAAAATTTACATATTTTAAAAGAAACAGAATTTAAGATTTAAATACTTTAACAAATTAAGTATTAGAATATGTTGAAAATATAATACTTCCAGATTGATGTTATCATTTGAGTTATATAAAATTCATAAAATAATTTATTAAATATAATAAGTATTTTAATAAAACATGTAAGGTGATAATAAATATTATTGGCAAATTATCAATGCATATTAAATCTTTCTTATATATTTTTATTTTTTTTTTTTATTCTTAGAATTTATTTGTTCGTTCATCCACATGACGCAGAGACTTAAAATTAAAATATGTAACCTTGGTTAAGAGTGCCATTACAATAAGATATCATATTAAATTTACTAATAAAAATGCATTTATTGATCCTTTTTAAACATAACGCTCAGATATTAAAATTATTATTAACTATCTTATCCTTTCCGAAAGAAATCGCTAAAAAGAACTCGCTCCTGAAAATGATAATGGTTTAAATTCTATAAAATTAAAAATTAGAATGTCATAAAAGGTAAAAATAAATAAAAAGCATAATAAAAATAAAATAGATATTTGATGATTCATGTCTATCTATTTCGGAAAATTAGTAGTGATACAACGAAAATGCTTGAGATGTCCACTCAATACTAATTATTAATTAATTGCGAAAATATTAATATTCAAAGGTAAGCAGAAAGTTTAGTTTTTTAATGCTTTACCGAACGTCGGCGCCAGAAAGATTATATACAGATTTGTGTCCTTATTTATTGTATTGTTGCTTATATTTATAAACAAAAGAAAAATGCAAGCATAAGTTTTTTTAGATTAGACAAATATTATGTTCTATAAATCAATAAATCACTAAATGCTAATTAATGAAAAACTACGAATGAGAGAAGAAATAAAAATAAAGTAAATATAAATATAACGGAAAAGGAAAATAATCGTAAATAAATACTGCAGAACAATTTAGCCAAAAAAAGATTATTTTTTATGTTTAGATTTCACTTTGAAATAGGGAGAAGTTTGGCTAGAGAACAAATTGGTCAAAAATCTATTTACCGGATCTAACAAGGACAAATGCGAAATTTTTGTCTTGCAATTCCTGTAACAGTATTTCAAACAATACATAATACAAAGTTTAAAGTACAAATTAGTATAAATAGAATATACTGTATAATCTGATCAAACTCTATTACGAATTAAAAATCAAAGTAATATCTAAGTTCACAATCATAATGTTTCGAAGAACCAATGTTAGAGAATATTAATAAAGTTATTAATGAATTACATAATATTATTAAAAATTTTTAATGTCCTTTTTGTATAGAAGTGGCGCCCGATTTAAATTACGTAGTAAATTGTTCGTCATTCTTGATCTTACAATGAAAATAGTTTTTGCATTTTTAAGTTCCCCAAAGTTAAATATTAATATTCAACATTTAGAAAAAAATCATTAAATGAATATGCAGCTGTAGAGAGAGAGAGAGAACATATAAAAAAATCTGTTTACAAAACAATTAATATGCATTTTAAATTTCTTAAAGAAAATACAACTAACTAGCTTTAATTATATAAATTTAGAAAATAATTATGATGTATATTGCTTGAAAATTTTATATGTTTTATTATAGAACTTTAAGCATCACATTTCGACGTGACTGTACATTTACTCTAGAAACCCCTTTAATCGCTTGCATTCATCCTTATTTGTTCTTCTCCAACGTTTAAGCTATTTTCCTTACGAGTATGGTGGGAACGAATATTCTTATATATTAGCCAAAATAAGTATCGTGTGTTGATAAAGAAATTTGAAATATTTTCATTTGCAAAAATATTTGGGGTCAGTTTCTTCTTAGATAGGTATGATTGAAATTTTCTAAAACAATATTATTTGCATGTTTTAAAAAAATACGTATAATTGAAGAATATTATTTTACTGTTTGTTGAACTAAATAAAGAAAAAGAAAGCAATTATCAATCTAACTCGTATTAACTTTTGTTAAGCTGTAAAAAGGTTTATTGCGATACTTCTGATTAATAATAATTATTTTTAACTTTTTTTATCGATATAGATGTAATTGTAACAGGTCCGTAAAATAACATTTGTATAAGGTGGCAAAAATAAATTTCCTTTGATTAGCCAATATCATCTCTGAAATTTTATTTGATATACATTTTTTTTTTTTTAAAAAAAAAAAATAGTTGCATCCCCGAATGATTCAAGCGTTCTTTTTTAATTATTCAATATAATTTAAATTATTTATCAATAGATTCCAAATTAACAAAAAAATTTTTAATGTACTTAATTAAACATTTTTTACAAATGAATGTTCCATTCGGATGCTTTCATCCAAATTCCGAATAATTGGGTCTGGATTTTTAATATTGATATCGTTCTTATTGCGATAAATCTCGCCATTATCGAGCTTTGCTAATTTTGTATTTAAATTTTCAAGATCTTTAAAAGTTATTTCAAAATTGTGAGAAATCATGGTGCATAATATTAGTTTTGGACGTGAAAAAACAAAAAATTTATGTTTGACAGGCTTATAACGTAATACTTGAGTAATAGTCATTCGAAATTCACCCATCTCTTCCCAAATTCGCCACGTATTAGAATGCTTTCCAGGAGAATAACTTGTTCTGCGGCTTCCATCTTTATCAAGTTCATGAGCAGCATATTGATGTGACCACAAATCTCCGGTAGTACCACAACCACAATGATTTACATCCCACTCATCTGATATTGATTTAACACTGTCAACATATTTTACATTGCCATTTGCTTGAGCTACGATTTTGGGGACTATTCCAAACTCTCCGTTAAATTGTCCACCAACACTTGATTCACGAACTGTTGAGAGTTCAACATTGCGATTTAACTTTTGTGGAAAGGCAGCACCTATCGTTGTGAACAAGCTCTTCATATTATTATTAGGTGTACGTGCAATCGGAGAGACACAGATTTCAATAGAATCAATAAAATAGCCATAACCATGCTTTTTAAATAATGGTGAATTAGTTCTACTAAGCATATTTCCTGTTTTACAATCAAGCACATCAACCTCAAATTCTAAAATATTAGATGATGTAATTTCTGCCCAAATACGAGCAGTTATGGTAAATTTTTGAAAAATCACTGGATCAACAGAATCTACAGTAACAATCGCTTCAGACGAGAAAATAATTCCATTAGCAATGATATCTTTTCTATTGTTATTACCATCACCATCATCATCACCACCATTACCATTGCTATTGTTATTACCGCTACTATTACTATTGCTATTACTATTTTCACCATTACCATCATTATTACCGTTATTACCGCTACTATTACTATTTCCATTACCATTATCATCATTATTACCGTTATTAACGCTATTGTTATTACTATTTCCATTATCATTATTACCGCTACCGCTATACTTATTATTATGTTCATTACCATTATTATCATTACCTTCATTATCATTATGACTATCATCACAATTAATACCACTATAACTTGCCGACTTATTATTATTTAGATTCTGATCATTATTATCTTCACTATCTACAAGTATTACTTGGTAAATAACTTCATATTGTTCCTCAAATAAGGTTTCAAGACATTCCAAAATGTGAATTCCAAGAGGTCTATCAACCCAACAGGCAATGCACGGCCTGGTAGAATCTTTTTGGAAGTCAATTCCTATAGCATAAACAGGCTGTGATTCTAATATATGATCAATATCATCTTTTCGACTGATAAGTAATTTCTGTAATTTTTTGACTTCTATATATGAAGTAGGAGTAATTCCAGAAGTAACAGTTGATTTTACTGAAATGAAATCTGACATAATTTCGTAATTTGTATCATTCCAAATATTTGACTTATCACTACTACTAATATGAACAATTGGTTTATTTAATTGAATGCAATTAAATAAGTTATCATCATCTTCAGCTGTTTCGCTTGCTTTTTTTTCCATAGATTCTACATTTCAATATATTGGAAATTAATAATAAGCAAATTACGTTGATTTAAATTAAATTAAACTTACACACCTATTAATTCGTCATTTCTAATAAAAACGTTTTTAAAGATAGAGGCCGGATTATCATTAAGGAATTGGGTAAATTCGGTAAACTAGTTATTCGAGTATTATGACAGTCGAGATTTATTAAGGTATTAGGTAA